GGGGCCGCTGCGATTTCTGTCGGCAAGCGTGAGCGGCAGGCGGAATACCGCCCAGCCTCTTCGCTGGGAAAGGCTTTCGACGGCTCCTGGCAGGTTGCAGCAGAAGGGTAATTGTAGCTACAAACTTCTCCGTGAAGGGAATCATTGTGCTTTTTAAACAGACCATAAAAATCCCCAGCGATGCCGATGTTCGAACAGTTAAACAGCGATTAAAGACGCTGGCGCTACAAGACCTGGGCATGTTATTTCCAGAGAACGTGTCAGCAGCTGCTGAATTCCTGCCTTTACTGCGCCGCGCTGGCAGGCGCGGAGGAGGTCTTTATGGAAACGCCGGCGTCGCGTTCGGCGTTCACTAGCGAGCGGCGCAGGTCCTGAGCTGCCTCCGAGCACCCTCTGGTTTTCAGCTCCGTTTCTTGGAGCTGGGCAATGGGGCCGTTCCCAGCGCTCGCGGCGGTGCCGAAAACCCCTTGCCGCTTGCGCGGGGCGTCCCGGTGGCTCCGGGGACGGTCACGCCGAGCAGAGCTGGAGCTGGCGGCGTCGCCACTGTGGCCCTCGTCTCGCTGACGTGGCGTCGCCAGTGTACGCTTCTGGGGTCCCATACGGTTACGTCCTCGTAAGCCCGTACTGGTGCCAGTGTCACCCTACAGCCCGAAAGACTTCGGTGCTTTGTTTGTGCTTTTTTAATTAGGTTCTTACCGAGAAACTAAAAGGCGACGGGACGGGGAGGAGGCCGAAGCCCTCTGGTTCCTGCCTGGGCTTGCTGGGTGCTGCGGAGCCTGTATGGAATTTGAGGACCACGACTCATTTCAACCTCTCGACTCCTTCCTGGGCCGTACCACACTCTCTCTCTCTCTCTCTCTCTCTCTCTTTACGCCAGCCTCTTCTGTCAGAAGAAATAAGATTTGTGACAGGGACTCCGTCTGTGTATATCCAGCGAGAAAATTTCCTATTTCCATATTTCTTTTCACTCTTGAACCAAAACTACCCCAAAAGAAAATCGGTACGAGCGAGGGGAGGAGGAGCCTCAGCAACAAATCCCAACCATTTACTCTCAAAAAAACTGCTGAGAATTGAGGCGTGTTGGGTGTGCTAACATCAACCGCTACCAACAACGTCTAGGCTCGAGCATCTCTAAAATGAACCTCCGGTATGTCGCAGGTCTGGCCGTCCGCAATCGTGGGAGAACAACCGAGTATGGCCAAACGGGCTCTTGCTTCGGGGAGGGTATCGTTTCCGTCTGCCAAGCCCTTCTGCCCTGTTCCCGCGTCTGTCGCCGGCGCCCGGCCAGGTACGTGTTGCTGGGGCTGCAGCGTTTGGTCGGGCGGTTTTTACAGGTTTTCTGAAAGGACCGGCGGGTACTCTCGGTTCCGTGAGCGCTGGGGGTTGCCTGGGCGCGAGGCACGCGCCTCCCCTTGGCAGCATCCTTTCTCCCCTCCCGCCCCCCCCCAACTTTTCAGACAGAGCACGCAGAATTTGTCCAGAAACGAGGAACAAAGTTTGGACAATCTCGCTGCCTTTGCGGCCAAATTTTTTTCCCGTAAGAATGGGTTTTGGTCTCAAAAAAGCGCATCGCGGCTGAAAGAGGGAAGCTTCTCGGAAGCTCTGCCCTGACTTGGGAGGGTGGCAGGGAAGGGACTTGGCTGCAGTTCC